TTTTTTTGGTGTATCAAGTATTTGATTGCGCATGTAAACATACATACACACATAATATATTGCATTGTGGAGAAGGACGGGTTCTTTTTTCCCTCTTTTTGTTCACAACATTCACTTTCGCGACAAAATTCACTTCTGGCAGACGCGACCGATAAGAATATTATATACACTACATGTATATATATATATATAAAGAGTTGGGTGGCAAGTAATTTACCATACGGAAATACATACATATATATAACTCGTCCTTGCTGAAATAAAATAAAATAAATTATTAATCACGCCGTCAAGAGAAAACTAAATCCTCGACTTTTCAATTAATCTGGTGTGGTTTTTTTATACTGGTGTGGCTATTCAAGTGGCGACACTGCTCACGACGATTGTAATTCTAATTAAATAAATTAAATCTGCGATCAGATTTATTCGCAATTTTCTTTCGAAAAAAAAACACTTCATTGTTCAAATTTAACGAACCTTAACCCTAGAACACACACCCGGGTACAAATGTATCCACTTTCAACTTTGAAGTGTTGTAACTTTTGAACCGCTATACCTCTATACCGCTAGGAAGATTATTTAGTTTTGAGTTCAAATTCAAAATTTGAACCAGATCGGACCATTGGTTCAGGAGCTACAGCCTTCCAAACGCATTATATACGTAAACACACACCCGGGATACGTTTGTACCCCAATAGTAAAAATCCTCATAATAATAAAAAAAAACATTTTTTATATTATTTTTTTATTTGAAAAATTAAAAATATTCATTTCACACATTATATTATTGACTTTTATTATAAAAATTATAAAAATGCATCTGACCGAATGTTCAAGACACATTGGCTTCTTACATTTGTCGCACAGCTTTCTGGTTTTTCTACGGCGTTTTTCCTCTTGTGCGTAACATAAATAGCAAGATCCGGACACAGGTTTTGGCGTGCGCGCTGCGGCAGATGTTGATGCTGCTGTTGACACCATTGATTCCACCGGTCGGTTGAAATATGCTTCAATAGCAATTTTAGTCGAAAAATTTCGCGTCACTTGACGATTTATGGCTCTGGCTTCAATAATGGGCATACACAATGCTTCAGCCAAGCTGCGCAGGATCTGCTTACGCTTGTTGTTTGTTCTCCAAGGCAACATAGGGTTATTCAAATCGTAGACAATGTAGGCTGCAAGAGCTGTAATGTCTAACATGTTGAAGAACATCGCTAGTGGCCATCGTTTTGTTTGTCTTTGTGTTGGATATTCCGCAAACATTTGGTCCATTCGATCAACACCACCTTTGGTACGATTATAATATTCAATTATTTCAGGTTTCCCACTGTCAGCTATTTCAGCATCATTATGCATGGTCGAAAGCAAAATTACTGCTTTATTTTTTTTGGGAACATAAGAGCACATTGTCACATTATTTTTGAAGCCAAATGTCGTTGAACAAATTGTCCTGTTTTTGTTCTGCTTCATTTCTTGAGGAATATATGATTTGTTTTTGCGCAAAGTTCCAACGATCGTGAGTTTCCAGGTGAGAAGCAGTTCTGCAACTGGCAAGGTCGTAAACAAATTGTCCATTGTAATGTTTCGGCCACTTCCTTGGTATTTGTCAGACAAATCCTTCACCACTCGTTCGCCTTGGTTCGTTTCCCTACCAGTTTCTGCTTGGCCAGTATATATTTGTCCATGCAGTGGATATGCATTTGTGGCATCGCAAATCCACCAAACCTTGATACCATATTTAGCAGGTTTTGACGGTATGTACTGCGTAAACCGTGTGCGTCCACGGTAAGGAAATAATTGTTCATCAATCGTCAAGCATGAGCTGGGCTTGTAATGTGCAGCAAGATTATTGTTCATCATCGTCCACAACTCACTGATCGGTGCTGCTTTATCAGTTAGTAAGCGTGTTGCACGAGTGTTTTTATCGTCAAATCTTAGGAACCGCAATATCGAACAGAAACGGTTGACTCCCATTGTGGCGCGATATAAAGGAAAGGTTTTGACGCTCCATAAATCTCGAACATGTTCTCCATTGCTATGGTTCGCACCAGTCATAATAAGTATGCCAAAAAATGCATACAGCTCTGTTATTGACACAGGCGTCCATGACTTAGGAGTTGTGTTTGGATGCGCATTGTTGTAAGCATTATAAGTTTCTTTTGCTAACTTATTTGTGTGGCGCATAATTATATCAGCCATTTCAACGATCATGAAACATTTGAATGTTTGCTCTATTGACAACATTTCAGTGCATCTAGCTGGTCCAGAACGTTCTCTTATAATATTTTGTCTGAGTACCTGACGACTTACATTTGGTTCTTTCATCCACTCAGTACCATCACGTGCAACAAATTTTTCGGCACTAGCAGGTAATTCATTATTTTCTTCTACTTCTTCTTCTTCATCGTCTTCTTCATCATCCTCATAGTCCGCATAATCAGGTAATACTTCTGCGGCACTTTGCGAAACTTCAGCATCGTCATCAGCAATTTCAATGTCATTGATTTGAATTTCTTCTTCATCTTCTGAGTCAAAGTCATAGGGAGCGTCATCGTCACAAATTTCATCAAATAAAGATTGTATATATGATTCTCGCTGTTCCTCAGTTAGCCTGCATAATAAAAAAAATTAGTATATGTTTACATTGTTGCTTATTTTACATTTTTTACCTTCTATATGCTGCACTTGATAAATATTCGTTTCTTCTTGAAGTCATTTCGTATCCAGTTATTTATAGTTTCAGTTATATTTATTTTCACTTATATTTTCACTTCTTACACTTTTGAGCACCAAAACAATAATGAAAATATCAACAGGCAGCATTTATAACAACACCTCGTGTGAAAACAACCCTTGCAGCTGCATATAAAATACAAAAACCAGTTATACCAGTGTATTTGCTACCTACGTACCCATACCTTGCGCGACCTTTTTGCACATATCTTTTGAACCAGGTAGAATATTTCAATGAAATAAAAACCAAAATGTGTATTCGTTGTTACTCTACAAGTATATCACTATAAATTATATTATTTTGTTTTGCATTTATCAGGACAACAACAAAAACAAAAATCCACTGTTGCATGTTTCTGACTTTATTTGCCCATATCGCTGGAACCAGTAGGAATATTCGAATGAAACAAAAGACAAAATACTTGTTATATATTAAAATATACATTTCAAAAAATCATAGAAATCGGTTGAATAAGCATTAAAAAAACCGCAAAATAAGGTCCCGGGTACAAACGTATCCCGGGTGTGTGTTTACGTGGTATTTTCTGGGTGTGTGTTCTAGGGTTAAAAGGAAAAATGGATGCTTTTATTCGCCAAGCAGATGCAGTAGCAGAGTTCGAATCTGACTACAACTCCATGTAGCCATCAGAACACACAAAGCACTCCTTAGCTTTTCAAAAAGAGGAATTGAAGGCGCTATGGGAAAAGGTGAAGGGGTCCTATGATGAACTCTGCGCTTCAAAAGAGCTCGATAGTAAAGACCTGACTTCAATAAAAAAGAAGTATAAAAGCACATACTTTAGTTTTTTGCGGTGCCAAGCAGCAATGGCTGAACTTTTTGAGCAACTTGCAAAGACTGAAAAAGAAAGTGAGTATATGTCTGGTCGCGAGCTCAATATTCATCTGTCTCCGTGTGACACGGATATATTTAAAGTGGATTACCTTTCATGGCCGTCATTTAGGGATATGTTTACGGCCATATATATCCTTAATAAGCGCCTGAACCCTGTTGAGAAGTTGTACCACCTCAGGCAAAAAACGCAAGGGGAGGCGAAAGAAATTGTATAAAGGTGTCAGTTGACCAATGATGGTTTTCAAACCGCATGGAAAAATCTGTGCGACAGATACGAAAACAAACGTATTCTGGTCAATAGTCAATTGAGGATTTTATTTAATTTGAAAGCAGTTGAGAGTGAATGCGGTAGCTCCATTAAGAAGCTGCAACGTGATATCAACCACTGCATCTCGGCGTTTCAATGTCACCAGATTGACATATCAAGCTGGGATGCGATATTCACGTATCTGTGCTCGACAAAACTGCCAGAACACACACTGGCACTATGGGAACAAACCATAGAGAAAAGAACGGAAGTATCGAAATGGGAGGACATGGATAAGTTCTTATCAAGTAGGTTTCAGACCCTGGAGACAGTAAAAGGCATTAGGGAGAGCAAGCCAAATAAAGCCCCTAAGCCACAAAACATACATCAGTCTTCAGAATGGACTCCAAAAAGGCTTGGCGCCTTCCAAGCCAGCGTGGAAAAACCCACATGCAAAATGTGCCATAACCATGAGCACAGGCTAAAAAGGTGTGAAAAATTTCACGATTTAACACCACTAAAGCGGCTCGAATTTATTAAGAGCATCCACAGTTGCTTTAATTGCTTGTCAGCCGGACATACGGTCACGTTTAATTGCAGTACGTGTCATTCAAGACATCACACGTTGCTGCATATGCAAGCAACTCAGCCAAAAGCAACACCTCTTAGTGCACCTCCAAGCCCTTCCGACGATATAGCCTCTACTTCTGAGCAAGCAAAACGGCGGGAAGCTGCAAAAAAGAATAAAGCAGTTAATAAAGTTAATTCATGTCATGCAAACTCAAATAAAGGAGTACTATTAGGAACGGCACGGGTCTTCATCATAATGG